TCATTTTCCTAATAAAAAGATGGAGCATTTAGTTGGGTGGTAGGTATACTTGATTGTCCACATAAGATTTTGTGGGAATACTATTATCATCACTACTTAAAAATGATGGAGTATTGATTAAACACTATTCCGGTATGCTTGTACTTGGGATATAAGTTATTGGTGATTGAAATGTCACTGCTTAAGAGTAGGATGTCAACGGGGTAGTTGACTCCCCCCTCCACGACGCCACTAGTGCTCCACACTCGTTCCACATTACTCCAAATCCCGTCCATTTTCCATTTTTCTTCCGTGAGTGCCTACGGGGCATACTACATATTTGTGTATTTTTCAATCCACTTTTTGTATATAAATATATATATGTTTGATATAGGAAAGATGACATGTATACTATCAAAAGAGGTTTTTCCTACAAAAATATGACTAGTTATATTTGTCGATAAAAATATGACTAATCACTGCATGCGAGTAACTGAAGAGTCATTATGATGTATTTAAGAGTGACAAGTCACTGTTAAATAATAAGTCAGTGAAAATTAGTCACTGAATATGTCATTTTTTTTGGAAAATTAAAGGAAAATATATTTTTGTCTTTTGATTTTAATTTAGTAATATTTATGGAAAAAGCCCTATATATATCGCTAAAAGAGCTAAACTAGATAATATTTTGTGTGACAAAAATTAATTCCACCAATGGAGATATCTAGTCCTCTTACAAATGAGTCTCATTTTTATCTCATAAATTTTATGTGTATGACTTATGTATCTCTACATTTACTTCATTTTCATTTTTATATCACTTTTAATCCATTTGTCATCCATTTTTGCTTCACCGATACCGTCTAAAGTTCATTCCGTTTTCATCCATTTTTGCCTTTTGAAATCCCATGCATGTAAAGTTCATGTGTGGAAATTATCATAGACTTATATATACTTTATTTTTATCTCTTTCATCTTTTCCATTTTATTCTTTTGACACTATTTTCTCTGTATTAAATTAAAATCATTATCTTATCTTATCTCTATCCTATGTTACATAAAATAAACTTATCGTACTATATATACTACACTACACTAAGATGCACTGAGTTGATGATCAATTAATATACAAGGTTTAGACATGAGCGACGTAGGCTGAATATCAAAAATGAAAAAAATTGTGCTAAAAAATGAAGAAAAAATATGTTACACTCAACGAACTTCAATTGACCATGACCTGTGCATAGATGTAGGGCTCTGAATACTTGGATGATATTAAGGTTCACTTTTTCGATCATTATTAGTTGACTTTTAATATAATATTGTGCATGCCGCCGTAATTATTACGTAGGACTAGGATTGTAATATATACAAAGAAAATTCCCGAAATAGTACTAAAACAGTTTGGAAATTCTAAAATAGAATTGTCACGTATTTTATCCCCAAAATAGGAGTATGTAATTACTGCCAAGTTTGGAAAATACTGCCATATTTGAAATCTGGTACTGCTAAAACTTGGCAGTAATTAGTCCTATTTTAGAAATAAAAACATGACAAACATATTTTGGAATTTTCAAACCTTTTAGTCCTATTTTGGATAATATTCTCATATATAAATGAACTTGTGCTCACAGAGGTGAACTGTGTGTGGGAGTGGGGACTGGGGGAGTGTGAGTATGAACCGTGGATGTAGGCAACAAGTGAGTTTGGTCTATAATTAGTATTGTAAAAAAATCTTAACTAGACCCCTCCACCTTAGGTTATGGCCAGTTGGCCACCTATGAAAGTTCACCATTTGCTCCTTTGGTGACATTAGTTTTGTTGAAACATTTGAATATACTGATCAGGACCATCAGGCTGTGGTTCTAATAATCAAATGAATTAATTATTAATAAAAAATGCTCTTGCTACACGGCAGTTTGTACATGCCAATTAAATTGTGAAGAAAACATATTTCCACACGGACAAAATAAAAAATTTGTGTGTATCGCAGACATTTTAAACGACAAACAAATTGGCGGCGTCTTGAATACTTGGATGATACTCCGTATTAAGGTTCACTTTTTCATTGTTGGTTGAATTTTAGTATTGTGCACAGACATTAATGAAGAGAATTTGATAGACGTCTTTCATAAAATGTCCATGATACAAACAAATTTTTGTTTTTGTCCATATGAAAATCGGTTTTCTTCATAATACGTCGATCAAATTGTCTACACACAGACAATTTGACCGGCGTGTATACAGTGGCGTGTACTATGCCGTGTACATGAAGTGAGACTGTAATACTCCCTCCGTCCCATTAGAAGGTTCTCACTTTCCGTTTTTGGATGTCCCATATAAAGGTTCCCATTTCCATTTTAGGAAACAATTAACAATTTTAAGTCACAAATTAATCATTAAATATTAAAAATAATACATTTATAACATCGCAGTTATCAATACTAACTGCATTACAATATATACCTATTAAAATTATTTCTCAAAATATACTCGAAGTACTTTATTTAATTATTGTCTAAATAACCGTGCCATTTTGCTATGAGAACCTTCTAACGGGACGGAGGTAGTAATAACTAACCGAACAACTTATATAGTTATATTTGGACTTCGGATTTTGCATTGATACATCTAAGCTATTGCTATGTAGTATTGTTTGGATAAATAATTTGACTGAATCTAATTATAGTGATTCAATTAATGAACCATGCTCATCCAGACTATAAATAAAAGGATGTGCTAGTGTTGCCAAAACTAAAAAACTAGGTAGATTCTATGGTACCAAAATGTACCATACATTTATCCACTTGGACCAATTAAAATGTTGTAGTTGAATTATTTAAATCTAAATTAAAAATGATTTAATGATTTGGACTAATCATGTGAATGGTAGGTACGGTACCACATTTTTTAAATGACTACCGGAATTGTCACCAAAAAACTACTCCCTATCTAACAGTGATTATACTATAACCACGACATTAAGATGATCGAAGTATTGCTTTCAAGAGTAATAAATAAATAACTGTACAAGTGTTGTCCAAAGTTCCAAACTTAAAAACAAGAAAAAGTAAAATTAAATATAAAAAATAACTAACTAATCAAGGTTACACTATGATCACCTCATTAAGATGAAGTATTGTTTTCCATAATCAGAAATGAAAGTACAAGTATTTTCCGAACTACAAAATAAGAAACTAAATAAATAAAAACTAAGTAACCACGATTGAACCGCGACTATATCATCATCATGATACTAAGATGGAGCATCATTTTCCAAACATAGAAACAAATAGTATAAGTGTTGTTTAAACTCGAAAAGATGAAAAAAAAACTCCCCCGTCCCAAATTTTTTTGGCCAACCAATAATAATAGTCAATCATCCCTATCGATAATTAACTCAATTTTCAATAATTAAAATTTACATATTTAGAAACTACATTAAAATCTATTCAAAGTTGCAAACTCCAAATTATTAGAGTATAATTAAAAATTGACATTATAATTAAGCAAATACAATGAAACTGTTTGATCAAGAAAAGTCAAATTTGCAAATCAATTTGGGATGGAGGTAGTAGAAGATTCAAAATTGCTACTTAACAATGACTTGCTTAATGATTATTCACTCCGTCCAAAAAAAAATTCCCATTAATCATTTTGGGATATCCTAAAAAATTCTTCTCACTAACAATTTTTGGAAAGTTTTATGTGAGTAACATTCATTGACATTTTTGTTAATTAACTAAGAGCCTGTTTGGTAGCACGAAAATCGGCTGATTTGGCTGATTCTGCTGAAATTTATGAAGTTCTGGCTGAAGTGGCTGCATTGGCTGATTCTGCTGATTTAAGAAAAAATTATTTTAAAAATATATTTTATAAATAAAATAAAGAAAAAATTATATGTAAAAATAGCTAATATGGTCATCTACAATAACTTCAGCCAATACAGCCAGAAAAGTAACTTCAATCTTACTTTTTCTGTTTATCACACAATTCAGCGCGCGAAAACAAAACTTACGTGTTTGGTAAAAAAGTTGATTGATAAACCTGATAAGCCAAAAAACAGGGTTGTCAAACGGCCTCTAATTATACATTTCCATTTTAATCAATTTTCTTAATAAGTCTATCAAGTCAAAGTTGTCAAAGTTGGAAGTATTTTTTGGATTAGAGGGTGTACATCATAAGTACGGATACATCATGAATTCATGACTATTGACTAAACACTATGAATAGTGAAAAAATTCCTAAAAATGGTAGCGTTTCCGTATTAGAAGTTTAGAACAATAGAACCTATTGAGTTGGAAGAGTTAAATTGAGGCACTTGGCAATTTCATCTCAGACCATTAATCTAATTAGTTTTGACACTTTCATTTTTTGTACAAAATTATTTCTATGTTATTTTTTTGCGGCCATTTCCTGCAAAAAGGAGTTCAATATGCAACAACATCTTGATTGTATAGACAATTTGATCGGTATTTTATAAAGAAAATCGATTTGACACGAACAAAACAAAAATTTGTCCATGTGAAAGACAATTTAAATGATTTTTTTTCATAAAATGTGTGTAATATAGATAATTTGATCTGCTTTTTAGGAAGAAAATCAATTTCCACACAGACATTTTAAACGAGATTTTTTCATAAAATGTCTGTGATACAGACAAATTTAAACAAGAATTTTAAAATGTTTGTTCTACGATTTTTTTGTTTTGTGTGAGTGTAAATCGGGTTTTTCTTTAAAACACATGTGAAATTGTCTACACACAGACCACTTCACTGGCTGTGTCAAAATGTGTCAACTCCATATTCTCGTTTGATTACTCTCCTACTTTGCAATTGTCGTAATAAAAACTTTGTATATCTCTAATTGGTGTGATGACATGAGTAAAGTTCTATCTGACTTGGAATATAAATAAAAAATTGACAAAGAATTAAACTTGATGAAAGTGAAAGTTGAAAAATAAAAACTGATTAAATTAACACATTGAGACATAAACACCTTTCAAAAAGTCAAGTCATAAACATGGGTTTGCTCCATGTCTACATAGAAGGGTTCTACGAGTCATTTCCATTTAAAACGTCGGGAAGTTTTGGAAGTTAATCATCGTAGCCTCCTCTGTGTATTTTTCTTCCCAAAAAGTATTCTCACTTTGATGGTTTCCTAACCATGATTTCCAGATATCTTCCATGTTCGTTAATCGTCTCACTAATTTAATCACGTCGACCCCATCATTTGCAAGTTGCAACAAATCTGTGACGAAGACAGTACCTCACCATTTAACCCTATATTTATCTTATACATATAGGAGTTTTCTTTATTTTTCTCTCTCTAGAATGAAGCACTGCCAAGAGGGGTGGCACCTTTGTAAGGATTGTTGGAGAAAAAGGGTCACATTAATTATGCTGGTTTCTTCAATGGGGTTTGGTGGGCTTTCGTGTTAAAGCGCCTTGCTTTTACAGATTCCATTCCATATTTTCTCCAAGATCTGTTCTTTCTTCATGCTCATCGTTTTAGCTCAGGTACGAATTCGACCATCCGATTCTAACCCTCTTTGCGTTTTTATATAAAAGCAATTCTCTGTGCTCAATTCCTTCTGCGGATGAGAATTCTTGGGTTTTTATGTATTGAATTGGCATTTATCATCTGTATGTATTCTTCTGGCATTGATGGTTTCAATAAATCCGTGTTTGTGTTTAGGCCCAATGGACTTGACACCAGTTGGATGCCTTATAAACAGCATTTCCCGATTCATTCATCTAGTAAATTGTCGGGTATCAAAGTCAGTGCTTGGTCAGAAGGATTTTGAAGTTACTGCAAGTGTGTTGAAACATTTGAAACCTGTGCTGGATGAAGTTGCTCATAAGAAGGTGCCTTTGGATGAAATTGTCAGTTGGAAGTGTGAAGAACTAGACTTAGCTATTAATGAAACCAGGGAATTTCTTGAGGATTATTCTCCTAAGAAGAGCAAGATTGTCTCAGTACGTACATTTTCTATTAAATTGCCTCACAAAAATGAAAATGCAGGTTTTTTAGAGTTATTGTCAGGGTTGTTACTTGTTTGTTTTGGGGATTTTGGAGGGAAGGAGAGTGGGAGTTTTTTTTCTTTTCTTTTTTCAATCTTATCTCTATTTGTTTAATTTAGGCTAGACATAAGTATATTATTAGTCAGATAATGTGTTTCTGTACAGTTATTTAATATTCACTTAATTTTCAACCGTATAAATTTAGAAATAAATATGGCCCCTATGGAATCTTGAAGCCAAACAACCCCTAAGATGATGATCTTGTTTTCTTTTTAATGTGCCAGGTTTTGCGTAGTAAGAAACTAGTGTGGAAAATCCACAGCTCTGTTCTTGAGATCTCTGGCGCTTTGTGTGGATTACTAGAACCATCAATGTGTAGTTTGGAACTATATGATACCGAGGTAAAGAAGCATCGATAAATGATACTGAGCACTTTAATTTGCTATGAGTTTCAAATGCTTGGAGGATATACACTAGGTTTGCTTATAGTTGTTCTCTGCTTTTAGTTGCTTTTCTGAGCTGCTCATTAGGCTCCGTTTGTGATGGATTTGCATAGCAATTTTGTATCTTTCAAATCCACCATTACCGTTCAATTATACTACGGAGTAGTTGTGTTTGCACTGTATTTTTTTACTTTTTTTTACTGTTTGGCTCCTTTTGTTTTTAAGAATAAGTATTTTCTTGGTTGGTGTTTTTCCTGTGTTTGACATCAGAAACATTTTCCTTGAAAGTATTTCTTATGTTTGGCAATGGAAGCGTTTTCCGATTTTGAAAATGGGAAGTCATTTTCCTGAAACAGTTCGATGTTTTCTATTTCATTGGCTCAACCATTATATTTTACATAAAAAAACTTATTATCCACTGATAACATTTTCCACTAATTAAAAAAAATCTGAATATCTTAAAAGTTTCTCTCTTCCCTGTAGCTGCTTTACCAAAAAACTAGTAATAAATACACAGTGGCTTTTCGCATTATGGATCACCAAAAGGGGAGCCTTAATCTCTTACTTTCTCCATCTCTCGCTGTTGTGTTGATTATGGTATTTTCTTTCAGAGCCGTATACAGGAGTTTTATAATTGTATGAAACCGGACAAGTTAGAATGCATAAAGGAAGTTGTTGACAGCCTAAGTGAAGGAAATGTTCCTTCCTCAGAATATCTTATGACAATTGTACAGTCATTAAATTTGTCATCCTCTGAGGAGCTACTTAACGAGTGCATTGCACTGGAGAAGGAGAGAGTGAAAGCTGTTGAGAATAAAAAAAGTGACTTTACAGATCACGCAAATGAACTCATGTGTCATATTCGTAATTTCTTGATCAAGCTCGACAACAACTTCACATCCATAGATGGGATTAAAATTCCGCCCTATTTCATGTGCCCTTTATCTTTGGCGCTCATGTTAGATCCAGTCACCATTGATTCTGGCCAAACATATGAGCGAGCTTCAATCCAAAAATGGATGGATCAAGGATTGACTACTTGCCCTAGAACTCGCCTCAAAATCTCACACTCCAAATTCACTACAAATGTAACTATCAAAGCTCTGATTGAAAATTGGTGCAAACAGAACAAATGTAAGCCTGAGGAAGCTGATGATGCTGATTCTACTCCTGGGGTTACCGAAGAAGAAGAAGAAGAAGAAGAAGAAGAAGAAGAAGTAGAAGAAGAAGCAGAAGAAGCAGAAGAAGAATTAAGGGTATGTTTTGTCCGTAAGAATTCTAGGATAAGGAAAATAAATGCCAAGGAAAGTCATTTTCTTGTGTTTTCGTTTTGTTGTGAAGACTCGTAGGAAAATGAAACATGATTAACTATTTTTTCTTCACATGGTTAGATTTCTTTGGCACGCACATATCACTGCCATACACTAGCGACATAATGTTTTGGGAATAAGGTCAAATAAGCCCTTCTACTATTTCCAATCCATCACTTAAGCCCCACTATACAAAAAATATCATATAAGTACGCTTACTTTAAAAAACTGATCAATCTGGCCATTTAATCAGCTTTGACCTGTAATAGCAAGTTTTTTATATTAAAAACATAAAAAAATGTTTAAATTTGAAGAAATATATACAAAATTCTGGAAAATTTCAGAAGGATAAAGTCTATAGTTTTGCATTTTTGAAATTATTTGTATATTCGCATCTATTTACAAGGTTTCACATTTTTTTATTTTTTACTTTTTACATTATCACTTTATTTTTTCAGTTTTCTGATTTTTCTATTCTAATGTTATTAAATTATTTTTCTACTCTTACATTTATACTATTTTTTATATTATTATTACATTATTTTTCAAATTATTATGAATTGTTATAAAATTTATCAATAGTCGTAATTTATTTTTTAAAAATAATATGCTATAAGAGGTCAAAATGGCTTGATTGATTGTATTTTAAAAGTAAGCGTACTAATATGATGTCATTTTTAGTGAAGGGCTTAAGTGATGGACTGGAAATATTAGAAACACGCGGTCACTAGGGGTGGGCACAAAAAACCGTAACCGATTAACCGTACCGAAAAAAAGGTGTCTTTTACGGTTAACGGCACTGAAATTTTAAAAACTCACGGTACGGTTAACCGACCGGGAGGGAAAATGGTTAGCGATACGGTTACGGTTTTGGAAATTATCCTCACTGGTTAACCAGTAACCGTAAGTTGATACGCAGATACACTGCACACGAACAATAAGTTCTGATGAAGGTATGCAGACGGGATAGTGAACACTTCGTATCCGTTTTGAAATTCTTGTGTATGTGTATATTCACGTCCATACATAGTGGAGTACTATGTAGCACCGATACCAGTACGCGGAAACGCGGAAACGCGGAAACGGGTACGGGGATACGTCAAAACCAAAAAAAGTAGGATACGGATACGGGGCCATATTTATAAATATTAAAAGTTATGGGGGTGTATTTACAAATATTAAAAGTTATAGGGGTCTATTTATAAATATTAAAAATAGTTTTTTTTTGAATATATATATATATATATATATACATATAATATCCTATGATGTCTACCCATTCATTGCATTGAAGCATTTCCCTTTTTCAAGATACTTAGTAATAAATTCATAATATTTCTCATATACACTGGTGTATCTCGAAATATAAATGTAGTCAATAAGTCATTAATTTAAAATGTGAAATAAGTCAAACAACTACAATCTTGAAATTAAAAGTGCAAGTACCCACTTCGGAGTATGAGTTAATGACTTAATTCGGATATAGCCATATAGGCCCATTATTTGATTTTCATTTTTTTTTGGAATTTTATTAAGTAAATTTTGGGATTTTTTCTTTTAAAAAAATGGTTGATACGGGTATCCGTCAGGATACGAGTATCGGAAACTTTCAAAAAATTACAAAAAAAAATGGAAACTTTTAAAAATTGCAGATACGGCCCGGGAACGTACGGTACGGGTATCCTAGAGTATCGGATACGGGAACGTATCCGATACGCCGATACGCTACCCTAGGGAAGTATCCGTGCTTCATAGGTGGAGTATACACACTTTACAATCAATTAATTACTCTGTATTCATGCATAGCTCTTTCTGGAAAGAATAATATACTTCTACACTAATGCTAAGCTAAAGCTATTGACATGTATACATTTTCTTTAGTATTGTACTTATAGTAAATAGTATAACCGTATAATAACATAAATATAGGAGCATATAATATGGAAAAGTAATAGTACACATGAAAAGATAATACGGTAACGGTAATAAGGACTAACTAAAGTTTTGGAGCCTGAGAATTTGTTTGGAAAAGTTTCTGCTATATAAAAGTTTCTAATTTAATCTTGGCCTGCTTATGTACTTTTTCAAAAATAAGATGTTTAATACGGAGTAGTTTGATGAGTTTATTATTTTCTTTTTCATGGTTTTTGGTTAACCGTTTTGTGGTTAACCGAAGTTTTGGTTAACCGATACTCGAGTTAACCGAAGTAACAAGTTTCTCTGTTAACTGAAAAGTTGGTTAACCAAAACACGGTTAACCTACCATGCCCACCCCTAACGGTCATGGTGCAAAGGCCCACATCATGGCGACGTGTCAACATATTGGTTTGTTCTGGTACATTTAGGTTTGATGTCAGTCAATAAGTTTTGCTTATCTTTTATGTTATTTCAAGTCTTCTTTCATTCCTGGTTATTTTCTTCTCTAATATTCTGCCTATTTTCTTTCCGTAGTATTCTCCGAGCTCCGAACAAAGCCCAGCTGTTTCTTATGTAAGGGAGGCTGAAGAAAAGTCAGATCATTCGTCCCCGGAACATTCATATGTTCATAGCAGAAGTGAGTCAGCATCAAGTGTTGCTTCCAGCATTGATTATCTTCCACCCACATCAACAGATTCTAATAAGAATTCCCCTCTTTCGTCCACAAAGCACTATCAGTGTTCCCAAGCATACACTGAAACTGTCACAGCTTCCTGTATAGAAGAACTCATCAGAGATTTAAAGAGCCAATCCATTGATTTACAAACAAAAGCAGCAGCGGAACTGCGGTATCTTGCCAAACACAACACGGAGAATCGGGTGATTATCGGCAACTCGGGTGCAATCAAGCCGTTAATCTCACTCCTAACTTCAGATTCAGCGGAGACACAAGAACACGCCGTCACTGCACTTCTCAACTTATCAATAAATGAAAATGTGAAGGCTGTAATTGCTGAAATGGGTGCATCGGAACCTCTCATCCATGTCTTGAGAGCAGGAAATCCGGTAGCAAAAGAGAACGCTGCTGCGGCTATTTTCAGCATATCTCTTCTGGAAGAGTATAGGATAAAGATTGGACGGTCTGGGGCGGTCAAAGCATTGGTTGACCTTTTAGGATCAGGATCTATGAGAGGGAAAAAGGATGCTGCAACTGCCCTTTTTAATTTGTCAATATACCATGAAAACAAGGCACGCATAATTCAGGCGGGGGCAGTGAGGCAATTGGTGAGTTTTCTGGAGCCAGAAACGGAAATGGTTGATAAAGCCGTGGCTCTTCTTGCAAATTTGGCTACCACTCCTGAGGGATGTTTGGCTATTGCACGAGAAGAGGGGATACCGCCACTCGTTGAGATTGTTGAGATGGGATCTCAGCGGGGTAAGGAAAATGCGGCCTCAATTTTGTTGCAATTGTGTCTTAATAGTCCCAAGTATTGTCGGCTTGTGCTACAAGAAGGTGCCGTTCCGCCTCTTGTGGCTTTGTCTCAATCCGGTACCACTAGAGCAAAAGAAAAGGTATGTAATACATGATTTTCCTACAGTTTTTGTTGCATTTATTAGCTTTTTAATGGAAGTCTTGCTTATATTTATTGCTGTTCACGCTGGTCACTAGATGACTGTTGCATGGGTTGGTGACGTTAAATTTTCAAATTTATAGAGCCAATTAATTATCTAGGTTAAATTGGTCTATACCGTATGCATTGCATGTCACAACCACTTCGAGAAGAGTAATGGTATGTGTTAAATCATCCAACATAAGCCAATAACAATTGTATAAACTATAAAGTCTCGCCTCTTACTAAGACTACAGAATGTTCTAACCATAGTTCGCACAAAGAATAAATAAGACCTAATTGAAAATGTGGTAAGAAATCCATAATACAGTCCCACTACAACAACTGATGTGTTACTCAAGCCGACATTCTCGCTTCCGCTTGGCTTCCAAACACATCGTAAGCTAAACCGGTGCTGACGAATAACTAAAAAAGAAGAAGAATATATACTAACTCGGCCATTTAGGATGGAATTCCAAATTGTAATATGGTATCTATGTCTGATATGAAACCCAAAGTTATATCCAATCTAACAAGCAATTTGATCTTAATTATCTGAAATCACGACAACCAAGAACTTGCTCCAAGGAGACACTATGGCATGATACATTATTCCATATCGACCAAATAGAAATGTTAAAACCCATATATAAAGCCTTGGACTACTTTTAACATTCTATATGCTTTTTAGGATTTAGCCTTGAGTCTCAATAATACCAAATTCCAAGAAACTATCATAATGAAAAACTCTTCATTTGCATGGAAACTATCATGAGCCTGCTGTGAGTTGAGATATTGGTTATAGTATGCAAGAGAAAATGGCATATTTAATATTTTGGGTTCAATGACCTATCTTGCTATCATTTTCAATTTAGCGTATCACTTGTTATAATTTAGATACATTTAGTCATTCCCGTGTCTTTTTACACTGATAGTTGAGTGGCATGGTCAGTCAACATTCAATATTTCTGAGTTTGGCCCTATAAAGTTTGATCATAAACAGTTATTTTTTTAAACGATGAACTTAACTGTATATCAATCATAATAGTTGAGCGACATGCACATTGACACTAAAAGTGTGTTTTGTAAAAATAAATAGTAATATTGTAATAAATTTCAAAAAAAAGAAAAAAACAATAGTATCTTAGTTATAACCACGATTAGCTAGGTAGTGAGCTGGTTTGTTTGCGTGAACTTACATTAAGATATTATCATCCATCTCCATTTAATAACAACAGAACTGCTTGTTTGTTTGCGTGACCAAGTCAAAATGATGGTACTAGGTAGTTTTGTTTTTTAGGGGGAGTGGGGGTGGAGGATGTTCTACTTAGGCTCATGGCACCTTCACGTTTGGTAAGTTTTTACGTGCACCTTCACGTTTGGTAAGCTAATTATTTTGCTAATAAGCACAATAGGCTGATTGAAGATGCAAAGCATGGATTTTAATTGTCTGGAAAAACTTCATGCTGCTTTAGTTCTTCCTATCTGGATTCAAATGTCATCATCGTTGTCGTTTTGTTACACAGGCACAACAGCTCCTAGGTCATTTTCGTAACCAACGTGAAGGTGCTATGAACAGAGGAAAGTCTTGAGTGCAGGTCTTCTTCTTTATTACTTTTTTACTGTATTGTTTTCTTATCCCTGGCTAAAGCTCTTCCCCTCGGGTGTATTTTTCGCCATTTTCTACGATGTGTACATGAGGCTCAGAGATCCTTTTTTCCTTTTCTTATAGTTTCCACTGTTGGCAATTTGTTTGCCAATAAGATTATGTATACTGCATATGTGTTTTTGAGCTCCACAGCCGCTCAGTAAGCAGATTTGTATATTGTACGTAAGATATTGTCAACGTTCATGTTAGGCCTGAAGATATATAGATTAGAATCAAATTCTTTTATTACAGTTAAATGTATGAACCTTATGAATGTCATGTAATGCATATTTCACTTTGTTTTGACAGGCGTATTCTGATCTTAAGCCCTAAAAGAAAAGCTAATATGTAGCTTGCTTGGGATTAAATTTTATTTTAATTACAAGAGTTATGGTCTATATTTTGCGCGGGTACTAAAATGAGAAGATTTTTAAAAAGTTGACAAGCGTGACTTAAAGGACAAAAACACCCTAGTACAGAAGAAATTTCCAGGTGTTTTAGGCTGTGTTATCCAACTCGGTTTACTTATTTCAGTTATTTGGCTCGGCGAGTTACTCGGCCATTCATATTTTTAGGGTCAAATCTGATTTTGTGATTAAAGTGACATATTATGGAATTTATTTATAAAAGATGGGTTGATATTTTAAAGTCTATTTGGGGACATGGAGGATAAGGAACAAAATGACTTTTTGCGACTTCATCATTAGGATTGTTGTTATTTTTCATATCTAAAAATTATGAGATCAATATGTCCCTACGTAGTATAATTCTGGGATCAGTATTTTTAAACTTAATTAACACATGTCTGAGTAGTCACCCGTAAATTCCAAATACTCAGTCTTACTCGCTACTTGCCCATTGATTGAGCTGGTATTGAGGTAAGAGTGGACGGGCCCGGCCCGAGATTGGGCGGGACGGGGGTTTTGGGTTGCAGGGCCGGTACTGGGCCGGCTTTGTACCTGGACCGGGCTGGGTCCGGGTCGGGTTGGTCAATTTTTTTTTTAAATGACTTTTCAAATTTATTCCTACCCCCGCGGTGGCATAATAGAAATTAGACAAGAATTATGAAAACTAACGGAGATACTAACGTGCAGTTCAAAGACGGTTTGATCAATTATGATTGGATTATTAAAAACGGTCCACTCTCCTCTATTAAAGGCAATTGCATCTTTGGAGCATTTATTATACATTAATTTGCTTTATTCTAGTAGCATTATTATTTAGATATGGGATCAAATAAAAAATGTCTTATTTGAAAAGTGCGAAATACACTAAAGCAATGCTACGGTGCACTTTGTATTGAACTTTTTCACGTAAGTTCACTTATTTTAGATAAATGGCACCCCGTGTTTTTATCAAAAGTGCATTTTTACATCTGCTTAAATTGCAGTAGATTATCTTACAAGTGCAGGTAGAGTGATCATAAGTGAATTCCGTGATTTTCACACTTTAGAATCTCTTTAAAATCTCTTTTTATTTGATTATATTGTACCATTGTATATTCTAATTGTATAGTTTGTTATCGTAATAGTTTAGTTACATATATTATGCAATTTTTTCACTTCAAAAGTGTGAAAATATATTATTCTAATAGTCCACTAATATCGCAACACTATGCACTTATAACATTAACTACATTATTGTGCAGTAATCCCAATACACTCATATCACAAAATTGTGCATTTTATCCATGGTTGATGGTTGTACCATTGTGCACTTAAAAGTATATATGCACTTTCAAAAATTTCGTTGTGACTTTTGTCATTTTGATGCACATTTATCTTGTATAAAACATTTATGCACTTCGTATAATAGGAAACAGTTCTAGTAAGAACGGACTCTCAAAAGAGAAATGAGAATGAATATATACCGTTTGATGGTATTATGTTGAACTGAATTGTGCATTTGGTGAAATGGAAATGTGCATTAGATGATATTGAAATGTGCAGAATAAAAATTTAAACTCAAGTGTGCATTAGGTTAAACTAAAATGTGCATAATAAAAGGTACGAAAATAACATCACATCATACCATTTACTCTGCACATTTCAGTTTCACCTAGTGCACATTTCAATTTCACATAATGCACAATTCAGCTTCACATAATGTCACTGTATCGTGCATTTTGTGCTGCACTTTTCAATTTCACCTAGTGCACATTATAATTTCATCTAATGCACATTAAATTTCACTTAAAGCAAATCTAAAGGTCCAGATTCATTCTCATTTCTCTCCTAAGATCATGTTCTTATTTGAACCAAAATCTAGTATAACAATCAACTATTTCCAACACATGCATTTATGTGAATACGTTTTCTTCATTAATAATAATTCATCCTAGGATGAGTCATAATATATTTACCTTTTCAACTGAAAATGAATACATATGCAACTTTATTATTCCAGGAGTGCACTCATCATATCACAAAATTGTGCACTTCTATCATTAAATATATTAATGTGCACCGACAAACTCAGGAGAAAATCAATGTATAATTAGAGGAGTCATATATATGATGATGATGAATATATATGTATTCAAATTAGAGAAAATCAATGTATCATTAGAGAAAATATATATGTGCACTTTATTATACCATTTACTCTATATATATTTTGTATTCAAATTAAAATGAAATGATAATAATGAATAGAACGGAAAATAAAAAAAATAACAATAGTGATAGTTATTATGATGGTGATGATGATGATGATGATGATTAGCCAAGCAACAATAAAAAGTGCACACCAAATGCATTTAATTAACCAAATGCATGACTAAAATAAGAACGGTAAACAAAAATATTATGTAATGAGTTTTAATCACATTTTTATTGATCAATTTCATTCTATCAATAATTAAAGAAAATGCCTTTTCAAAAAAATGTATAGGTTGGCAGTTTACATTTATTTGTGAGTGCACCATCAAATTCAATACTACGTATATTAGACTCCAATCATGAGAAATTAAATGAATTTGAACAAGCGTATAATACTATAATCATGAGAAATTAAAAATAAAAACAAGATACGTGGCCTATACAAATCGTGGAATAATGGAAAAAGTGGAAAGCCATTAAAGCTCTAACGGCGTAATCCCAAGCCAAAAGTTTAACCATTAGTATAAGATTAGCATTCCGTTAGACCAGATTTAATTAATGGTGAAGATCCATTCTTATTTCTCTCTCCTAAGATGATATTCTCATTTGATCCTTACTATATATATATATATATATATATATATATATATATATATATATATATATATATATATATATATATATATATATATATATATATATATATATATATATATAGAGGAATGATCCTGTCCAGCCGGAGGGACAGGATCTTCCGTCCGGCCGCCGCCGTTTGGGGCGGTTCCCGGTGGAGTTTTTTGATGAAATTTTTATGGAATGTTCCTCATCAAGTCTAGTTTACCCACAAAAAATTTCAGCTAAAAATTCGATCGGGAAGGCAGTCAAATAATTTTTTGAAGATAACTGCTCCAACTTAAACATATAAAACGCAGTTATGTTTCAAAAAATTATTTGACTGCCTTCCCGATCGAATTTTTAGCTGAATTTTTTTGTGGATAAACTAGACTTGATGAGGAACATTCCATAAAAATTTCATCAAAAAACTCCACCGGGAACCGCCCCAAACAGCGGCGGCCGGACGGAGGATCCTGTCCCTCCGGCTGGACAGGATCTTTTCCGTATATATATATATATATATATATATATAGAGAGAGAGAGAGAAATCATCATGTCAGGCCGGCCTGACGGGCTGCCCCGTCCGGCCGAGCCCGTTTGGGCATCTTCCCGGTGGAATTTTTTGATGAAATTTTTTGAGCATGTTCCTCATCAAGTCTAGTTTGTCCATACCAAATTTCAGCTCAAAATTCGATCGGGAAGGTTGTCAAATGATTTTTGCAAGTTAACTGGTCCGGAATATGTATTTTCCGGACCAGTTAACTTGAAAAAATCATTTGACGACCTTCCCGATCGAATTTTGAGCTGAAATTTGGTATGGACAAACTAGACTTGATGAGGAACATGCTCAAAAAATTTCATCAAAAAATTCCACCGGGAAGGTGCCCAAACGGGCTCGGCCGGACGGGGCAGCCTGTCAGGCCGGCCTGATGAGAAGAGCTCTATATATATATATATATATATATATATATATATATATATATATATATATATATATATATATATATATATATATATATATATATATTTCATGGGAAGAAATCTAGATCCATGGAGCTGACTCATTTCAAAGACGTCAAGAAGACGGCTCACCACCGCGACGGCGACGGCGACGGAGACGGTGAAGGCGACGTCTAAGAGCTGCGGTACGGCGGCTGCGGCGTTCCCAAGATTGTGGCTAGGGTTGATTCTGCTGATTGCTTTTGTTGAGAGGAACTCCAGCAATAGCCATGGATTGGAGCCGATTGAGGTTCTTCTGGTCTGCGGTAGCCATGAACCGGAGCTGATTGAGTTTCTTCTGCTCTGCTGCGACACTACTGGTAATCACAGGGAAGGAGTGAAAGATGAGGGAAAGGGGCAGTCTGCCAACGTTGAAAAAGGGTCAACACTCAAAAACTAAAATATTAAATGAAAAGGGTAGTTTTGTACTTTACAAAAAAAGTACATAAAAAATCACTTTTTTATCAAACACTCCAATTTTTACATTTTAACTAAAATCACTTCTATTTCCAAACACCACCTACTTTTACTACAAATCACTTTTCCAATAATCTCTTAAAAAAATCCTATTAAAAAGCACAAGCAAACGCAAACACTACTTTATACATTGTAGACCACAAAAACTTTGACGGGGAAGGACGTAGTGCTTGACTGCACACGTTCAAATGTAAAATATTAAAAGTAAGTTTTACAGTTTCTCTGTTTATGCATGAAAACACATGTGAAATTATTAACTTCCTAAAAATAGTACAGACACTGTAAGTCTGTAACTTGCATAAATACTTTTGCTTCAATGGCTCAATCAACCTAATTTCTGTCTCCTCTTTTTGCATAGAAGCAAACACGAAACAGTTCTTTCTCTTTTGCTAACACTTTCTACTCCTACCAATGAAGGAAATGACCACTGAAGAATAGAGTATAGCAGCATGTTCCCCCCCTTTTGGTAAAACCCATTGGATTTCACAATTCTCCCGAACACTACTTGTGCTTTCTTGGGTAAAAATGAATTATGGAATAGAAAATCCAGTGCAGACACAAAGTTAGAGTCCATTTCGTAACACTGAAATCGGCTGAATCGGCTGATTTTGCTGAAATTTATGAAATTCTGGCTGAAGTGA